CGCCAAAATTTTGCCAGTTGGATCCCCGCTCAAGTGCTTCCCCAGGACCGGGGCACCAACCTGATGCACGTCTGGGCTCCACGTGCGACTGCGTAAAAGTTTTGGCGGGAAAACTGCTAACTCGGGAACGAGAAAAGCTGGAAGGCTGGAATTTTAAGGGAATACTGCCTATTCAGCGCGACTAAAAGATTTCAAATCCAACTCTTCTAGCGGGGTCTTCGCGCACCAACAACTTTCCATTTGTTGGGTCACTGAAACCGACATTTACAACTGACACGTCACATAGATGCACAACCAACGTTCCAAACTCCTTGCGATCTTGCTACAGTATGAAATGGTGCAAAAACGTATGATTATACCGGCCCGCTTGGTACGTTCTAGCCCGGGTTTGTTTTTTAATTATTGTGATCAGTGCTTCCAATATGGACTAGTACGAGGTTACAACAATTCCGCATGGAGTCAAAAATGATCTTTTAAAAAAGAAAGATGATAAATCTTAAAAGGAATCCAAGCGGCAGCGTAGTGAAGCTTCCCGAACATTGAGTAATGTTTGCAGGACTTCTTCTTGCTCGAGCTCCAGAACAGCCAGAATTTCGTCGTTGCGACACTGATTTAGTGGTTCAAAGTTATATGAGTGCCCAACTGTACTAAGGCATACTCGTTTCACATCCATTACTTCGGCGAAAATTCCGGAGACAAGGGTGTCGTCAATGTGAATATAGGGAAATGGCTTATTAAGCGCCTCCAAGAGACGACCTGCCGTCGCTGGACTAAATAACCATGCACCGCCAGCCAAATAGGTCGGGTACGTCACTGACGCATAGACCATTGGATTTAAAGCCCTAAAATGGTTGATTTGAAAATTTTCGTGTACACATATACACACATACACACCAATAAATGCAGTAATTCCAAAGCTTGCTAGTAATTTTTTAAATTCCCTCATTACATGTACTCCTGTGGCTTTCACATAATTTAATTGGAACCTCTTCTTGCAAAAGCGAAAGTTAGTTATTTTACTGCATAGCATTTGCTTTATTAATGAGATCGAGCAATTCTGCAGATCCAGAAGTTTCATCACGCAGGATAGCGTTACTTTGACTCTTCTTATGACTTAAGCAACCAAATCATTCACTGCAGGCGTTTACAAGAAAAGAACCCCACAAAATACTCGTGCAACTATATTAATGAGGAAGTGTACCTAAATCTGAAGACCAGAAACAAACCATTTGCTGTTTTCATCTCGGCTAGCTCTTGCACCTTTCCAACATTTTCCGTATACAGCCATTATGTGCGGATTGAGTTTTAAGGCGAATGTAGTGATAGATTCAGGAAATGCAGCTATATCGGGATCGCCCTGAAACTCAAGCATTCTTATTTCTCTGACAAGCACTGCCAGTTGCATACGATAACAATTAATATCGCCGATTTAGTAAATCCGCTTATTCATTAACCGATTTTATTAGACTGTCCGGATTGTTGGTGGGAAGACCAGGTCTTTCTGATGTTTTGAAGGCGCATTCACACACCAGGTGCAACTCTATCAGTCTCTTCCATTTTGAGTTACACTTTATTTACCACCGTTTCAAAAACTTGTAGAAGAATGAATTTCGCTTTTTTAA